CCTTCCTTCTTTCCTTCCTTCCTTCTTTCCTTCCTTCCTTCCTTCGTTCTTTCCTTCTTTTCTTCCACTATCTCTCTCCCTCCCTTTTTCCCCTCCTCCCTCCCTCCCTTCTTTCCTTCTTCCCTCCCTCCCTCCCTTTCTTTCTTCCTTTCTTCCTTAACAAATATTGCTGTGATAAATATCCTTACACAGAAATCTAGATTGGTGTCTACTTGTTGGAGACTGAATTATAGGTTGGGGATGGGGTACATGAGCCCTCCCCTCAAGGGGCTCCCATTCCACAGAGGAGGGGAACAGTGCATGCAGAGCTGGGGGTAGGGGGCACCTTTCTGGCCCCAGGGGTCAGGGGAGCCTATGTGTGAAATGACATTTGATCTCGGACAAAAGCTGGGATGTCATGGCTGCCCTCTGACCCGGGGTGGGGCCTGAGCAAGAGCAGGCTCAGCCACCCCTCACTCCTCCTGCCCCAGCTACCAAAGGCCTGCATTCCAGCACAAGCTCAGAGAGGCTGCGGTACCATCCTCTCAGCTGCAGGGCTGATGCAGAGACCTCTCCCACTCTGTTTCCTTCCTGTCCATCAACAGATGTTTGCTGGGGGAAAACTCCTCTTTGGGGGCCGTGTTTTGAATGGCTATGGCTTCAGCAAGAAGAATCTGCTGAAACAGATCTTTCGAGCTCGACAGGATTGCAAAATGGGTTACTTCCTGCCAGACAACTACAAATTCAGGTGAATCAGGAAACACTCAGGATGGGGGAGGTGTTAGGAGACAAGTTTTGGGGAGGGAAGGAGGTTGTGGGAGGAGAACTGGGGGGATGGGTGGGGCCAAAAGATGATTCTGGGAGGGGGCCAGAGATGGGGAGTGAGGCCTTCCTCTATGGCAGGTAAAAGCTATGGCAGGAGGGCTTTCCAGGGGGACAGGGGAGGGATGAGAGCAGGAGGCGAGGAGTGAGCAAGGCCAAGGTGTTGGTTTCTTTGGGACAGTGCACAGTTTCTGGGAGGAATAACGAAGAGAGGGGTTTGGTGAGCAGGAGCCCCAGCTACACCCTCTTCTGTTCCCCCACACTCCACCCGCAGCCTGTGCGCCTGCCCAACCCCACTTCTGCTTCTTTGCCAGTAGGGCCTCATAAACAATGAGCAAGTGTGGGGTGGTCCCGGCCTGGAGAAGGAAGGGCTGGCTTAAGCCTTCCACTAGCCTTCTGAGCGCTTATCAGCCAGGTGTTGCCAATCTGTTGAGCAACACCTGGGTCCAGCTCCTGTAAGCTGATCAAACATAGGTCTCTCAGCTCAAGTAGAATACAGCCTAGTCCAGGAAGGGACTGGGCTTTGAAGTTCCTGAAAGTTACACTAAGGAAACCTGAGCAGATTGTAGAATGCCTGGGCAGGAGGGTGCAGTTGAGGATGGGAGCCCTGCTCCACTTGCACCAGCTGAGGCTGTGCATCCATCAGATGGCTTCCCTGACCTCAGTTACTTGTCTCTACAGTGAGGATACTAACTGCCATCTCAGGGGGCTGCTGTGAGGAGTGCACAAAAGTATGACTGTTAAAGAGCTTTGTAGACTGTAAAGCAACGATGAAATAAGTGAAAGTGTTATTTAAAACCAGACCTGGAGCTGTCTGAGATTACGCCCTCAGAGCACCGAGTCTGGGCACCCTGACTGCCACAGAGAGTCCTCAGAGTCCTCAGTTTTCTAGGAGTCCTGACACCAGTCTCACCCCAGTGAGCTGAGTTTGTGTCTTGTCAGGTTGACTGCCTGGCCCTACTGAAGCTGGGGGGACACTCACACCAAGAGGCATCATGGAGGTAATGCCAAGTGACTCCAGTGCCTTGGAGCCCTCAGCAGAGAAGGCAGGATCGGGGGCAGCCTGTGACATTAGGAAGGGCAGATGCTGAAGGTGCAGAGAAGGACATGAGGCCTCATCTCCAGAGGTTCATGGACAACCCCAGGGAGAAAGACAGAGGGCAGCAGAGGCAGAGGGGGGAGGGGAGGAAAGGACATCATTGGGAGGGCCAAGCTGATGAGCTGAGGCCACACACAAAGGCATTTCAGAAACAGTGGGAAGATGGGACGTGCACACCTTAGTCTGTTCAGGCTGCTATACAAAAATGCCATGGACTGGGTGGCTGTAAACTGCAAACATTACTTCTCACAGTTCTGGAGGCTGGGAAGTCCAAGAGCAGGGTACTGGCAGATTTAGTGTCCTGCGAAGACCCTCTTGGCCTGTAGACAGCACTTTCTTGCTTAGTCCTCACACGGGAGAGGGGCAAGGTGGCTCTCTAGGCACTAATCCCAATCCCAAGGGCTCCACCCTCATGACCTGATCACCTCCCAAACACCCCACCTCTAAATACCATTGCTTTGTGGGGGTGGGGTGAGGATTTCAAAGTGTAAATTTTGGAGAGACACAATCCAAACCATAGCAGTGGGGGATGTCAAAGGTAGTTACAAAGAGATGTAGCTCTTATTTGGCTTCGGTTGGAAGACATTCTTTAATAGGAAAGGGCAGCCTATGCCTGACATGGGGGTGGGGGCAGTAAAAGGAGTCTGGCCCCCTCCCGTAGCTGTGTGGCCTGTGTATACCACTTACCCTGTGCTTCTGACTCAAGTGAAACTTAGTTCTCACTATACTGTGGGGATCCAGGGAGCCAGTACCTGGGAGTGTTGTCATGTCACTAACGTTACTAATAGACTACTAAGTGCAGTCATTCATGACATCATCATTATTATTAAAGTGACTTCTGGTCTCCTAATTCGTTACAGTCAAGGGTTCTGAACGGACTTAATGGTCTGAGTCAACAGTTTTCAACAATTTTTGAGGAATGGTAGGGGAAAAATCAGAAAACTAGATTTACAACACAAAGCAGTACACACACACAAAAGCAGAACCCTACAGGCAAGGGTGTGCTAGGTTCTTAAAAATGGAAAGGGGTAGATTCCTGAAACTGCAAACCAGCAGGACTCCTCCAAATTGTAGAATGGCTTGTTTGGCTGATGGTTCAAGAGTACTGAGGAGAAAAAGGGGAGTGGAATCTTTAATAAAAAATATTGCCATAGCAACAGTTCCTGTAATCTCTATATGTGAAACAGACCACCTTAAGTTATGCAGTGTAAAACCACACCATCATTTATTATTATCTCTCATGGTCCTAGAGCTGACTGGGCTCGGCTAAATGGTTCTTGTGTGGTGGGGGGGCCTCTGAAGCAGTTGCTGTCAGAAGTTGGCTGGGGCTGAGTCAGCTCAAAGGCCCCCTCACTACTCTGCCTAGTGGCCAGAGCAGCTGTCAGCCAGGATACTCACACATGGCTGCTCCAAGTGGCCTTGCCTTCCTCAAATACAGAGGCTGGGTTCCAAGAATGGGTGTCCTAAGACAGGGCTGGATAGAAACTGTCTTGCCTTTTGTAACTTAGTTCATAAGTCAGGTAGCATCACACACTCTGCTGCTTCAACAGCCCGTACTCAGGGGAGGGGACTCACACTCCACCTCCTCAAGGGGAAGGAGCATCAAAGAGCTTGTGGGTGTTTTTAAAGCACCCCACCCTCCATGCTCCTAGCAGGGTGACTAGATTCGTAGCCCCAATTACCTGGATTCCAGAAAGTTCCAGGTGAAAACTCACGGTGTCCCTTTAGATAAGGTGGGCACATGTGGCTCAGGTAGCAGCTTGTGCAGGGGCTCCCAGTGAGCAGGGTCCAGTGGCAGCCTGAGGGTGGACATCTGTGCACGGCCTGGCCGTACACCATGTGCCCTTGAGTGGGAAAAAATCAAAGCTCTGATATGCTCAGCTGCTAAGATGGTTTGGGAGGAGAAACAAATGTTCGCCTTTGGGTTTGAAAGGCTTACCCTCAGTGGCTGTTGAAGTCCCAGCCTGATTGACCATCACACTGAAAAATAGGCTTAGAAGTCAAAAGCACTAGTGTGGAGAGCAAAGGAAGGATTGAGCCTGGAGCTGCCATTTCGTCTCTGGGTCATCTGTGTCTGACAGCTTTGCATTTAGAGTTCTAGGAAGTGGGGGCCTTCACTGCCCCTTGGTGGAAATCACGTCTTCCTTACCCACAGTGTATTTCTGTGCCAGCATAAAGGGAGGATTCTAGGAAGGCATTCTGTGGAGGAAGGGAGGTGGGGAGAAGCGACTGGCCAACAGAATAAGCACAGGGAGGCAGGGCCAGGAGCCAACTCCAACCAGGCACAGGGCACCCAGGCCTTCTCTCTTCGGGGGAGCTGGCCACAGAGACAGTCCTCAGTCTTGGCCTGGCATCTGTGAAGTCAGTGTGGAGAGGCAGGGCTGGAACCAGGCAGAGGAACCAGCAGAGGAGTTTGGCTGAGGGTACCAGGAAGAAGGGCTCCCCACTGAGGCCCAAGAGCTCTGGCTGAGGCTGGGGTGGGCTCTCACCTAGTACATGGACTGGCTTCTGGCAAACAGCAGAAGGGTAGGGGCAGGTCCAGCCAAAGACCACTCCCCAGGGAGAGTGGATGGTGGCAGGCTTAGGGGCAGGCCCCAGACTCAGGCAAGCCCAGATGGCTGGGGCCACCTAGGGACAGAGGGCCCTTCCTGAGGAGCAGGCAGTGGCTTAGGAGGAGACTGCATGTCTCCTGCAGGTGTTAAACTGTGCCAGGTGGAGGGCTGGGTGACTCTGTGTCATGTGCCCTGAACATGCTACTTCCCTTCTTTGTGTCGTGGCTCATCCCTAGGGCTGGTGCCTGAGAGCCCTTTGAGAAATGCTTACTGAAGGATGACCTTGGGCTGATTTTCATCCCAGGGAGGCAGAGTTCAGGTCAATAAGAGGAAGTGCTGGCTGACAGCCGGAAGCATCCACTGATTGCCAGGCGACTTCTCACACCTCCAGTGGTAGGAAGCTCCTCCCTCCAAGGCCAATTTGATTTTTTGGCCTAAAAGTCAATGGCATTCCTTCAGCCTCATGTTCACACTGGGGATATGGAGGTGAGCAAGACCATGACCTGTACTGTATCACCTTGGCTGAGCCAAAGACTGGGCAATCCATGTGAAAAAGAGTGAACGATCTTAATTATAGAGAAATGCAAACCAAACCCACAATCAGATATCACCTATACCCATCAAGATGGCCACTATGAAAAAAAAAGAATAGAAAAGAAGAAAAACACAAAAACATTAGCAGCACTAATCACAGTAGCCAGAAGGCAGAAAGAAATCAATGGATGGATGGATGGTTAAAGAAAAGTGGTCTGACCACATAGTAGGATTTTTTTCCCCAGCCTTAAAAAGAAAGGAAACTCCGCTAGCTAGCACTGGGAGTGGATGGACCTGAGGACATTATGCTGAGTGAAACAAGCCAGTCACAGAAACACAAATGCCCTGGGACTCCACTTACAGAGCATCCCAGAGAAGCCAGATTCACAGAGACACAGAGTAGAAGGTGGGAGTCAGCGGCCAGGGGCTGGGGGACGGGGGTCTCACTGGCAGAGTTCCCATCTGGGGAGATGAAGCAGAGCTCTGCAGCGCAACCACGCAAATATACTTAACACTGGATACTTTTCAAGCATACAGTGTATACTTGAAAATGGCTAAGATGGTAAATTTTATGTTATGTGCTTTACAACCACAATTAAAAAGGGGTAGAGGGTGCTGTGTACTAGTGCCTGCTGCCGAGTGCAGGAGGAAGGGGGCTGCCCTCCTAAGCTGGTGAGCTGAGCTCCCAGGGTAGGGGCTGGCTCCTACCCACCCTCCCCACCTTCCCCACCCTGCACTGGCTGCCAGGAAGTCTCCCTCCTGCTGCACAGACCTGCCTATCTCTGTCCCTGTCCCACAGCCTGGAATTCTAATGTGAATGCTTCCCTACCTTTAGGCTTCCTGGGGTGCTCACATGCAACCTCCTTCCTCACTCATGGGCCCACCCAGGAGCCTCTCTGCGCCCTCGGTGGGCAGCCAGGCTGAGTTGGGGTAGGTGAAGAGGAGGAGCCTATGGGGTGGGCAGTGCACCCTCAAGGGGAGTGTCCATATCCTTGTCTTGGACCCCCCAGGACTGGGCTGAGTGGGTTGCCCCAAGATAAGGCCGACCCAAAGAAGGCTCTGGAAACAGCTGCCCAGCTGGGACCAGTACTGGCCTGGAGACTCGAGCTGCGTGAGGCTGGAGGCCCCTGTATCCCACCTAGCCTGTGCCTTCCTTCTGTAGCAGGTAGTGACCACCTTACTGGGCCCTGGGTCCACACCTGGCTTGGCCCCTCTCAATGCTCAGCCTTCCCCTCTGGGGCTTTTGCTGACATCCTGTGGCTCAGTCACCAGCACAGCAGAGAGGTAGGGACAGGGACAGCCAAGCGCTTGTCCTTGCTGGTGCCTAGTCTCTGAGACCCAGATGGGGGCCAAGCCACCAAACCATCAAAAGAGCTTCCTGGCAGTCAGTAGCTGATTAAGGAAGAACAGCCCTACACGCACAGGGTTGTACTGAGGATGTGGCAGCCTCACGCATCTGCACCGCGTCCACCTGCACATGACAATTGCTGGGCTCCCAGGCCTGCCTCAGGCTCAGGGAAGCCTAGGGAGGTCACACACTATTTGCTGTCCGCTAGTTGCTAGTCGCTATCCACTATTCACTATACGCTATTCGTTCCCTATTCGCTATTCGCAGGCCCCAAGGTGGGTCTGTGCCTGCCGGTCTGTGCCTGTGAAAAGACAGCTACTGCCCCACTGTGCTCACTTTCCTGTAGGGACTCGGTCCAAAAGGGACAGGGACTAGGCAGAGTGGTGACATGGGGAGGGGCTGACAGGGCAGGAAGGGCAGACCAGGCAGGGGAGCTGCTGACCCTCTTGGAAACATGAGGAGTCTCAGCCTGCCAGCAGCCAAGAGGGGACTCTCAAGACAGGGCACTACAGTACCTGAGGCAAATGAGGGTGTCCTGACCCCCAGCCAGGGCACTGCCTCCCTCCGGAGTGTGGCCAGAGCTGTGGGAGGTTTTGAGGAAAGTGATCAGTGAGCCGTGTTAGGGACAGTGGCTCTGGCTCTTTGTGGAAGATGTGGAGAGGCAAGACCAGCCCAGACTGAGAGCCTTTGCTTTGTCCCTCCATTGTCACACCCTCCGAAAGGCTGTTGTCCATCTGCCTAGGACCAGTGTCAACTAGTGGGCTGTCTCCTTGATGGCTACTTAGGTCCCAGGGGGTCAGTTCACCATCAGAGCCCAGGCATGCACTGGGCCTGGTGTCTGAGGCCCTTCACGAGTGTGTGGGGTGGAGGCGTCCGGTGATGCCCCTTTGCAGTGCTGTCCACAGGGCCTGGCATGGTGTAGCAAGCAAGGAGAGTAATGCCATGGGCTCCAAGCCCAGCTGTCAGAAGTGTGTGCATCTGGGAGGTGAGCTTCCTACAGAAAAGCCTCCCCAGGGCCCTGAGCTAGGAACCCCGGGTACAATGTGCTCACATTAGAGAAAGGGAGCCAAGGCCCAGGAAGGGCAGGGATGTGCCCCAGAGAGGCAGCGTGCCCGGGATGCACCACACACCAGGCCTCTGCCTTGCTGGGCCTTAGTCATCTCCTTATGGAAGGGAGGCTTAATTCTCTCTGGAGCATTCTGGTAGGAGTGAGCTGAGTGGGTCACAGGCTGTCATTGATGACTGAACTCAGTAATGACAAAGTAAATAAACCGCACCGCCTTATGTAAACTGTAACATGTCCAGGGGACTAAAGAGGACTTTGCAAACTGTCATGACATCTTTAAAAGACAAAGTCACATGCCCCATAAATCACAAAGGGCTTTGGAGGCCACTGTGTGCCCTGCAAACTAGAGAGCATCTTATAAACTACTGTGCGCCCTTACCAGCCGGCTCTTTGTGACAGCAGGGCACTCTGTAAGCTGTAGGGCACTCTAAAGTGCTCTGCAAACTGCAATTTACTTTCTACCTGCAAAGCACTTCCGAAAACACATGACACTCTGTCGAGAACAAAGTGCCTCATACGCTGCTGAGTGCTCTGTGTAACACAGACCATACTACAAACAGGGATGTGACCCACTAAAGACAGAGTGCTACATAAACGCCACTGTGATCCTCAAAATGCTTTGTAAGCTGTAGAGTGCTGTCCAGAGGGACAGAAGAGGGAAAACTCTTCAAAGCTGGGCACTGGTTAGCCCCCTACCTCTTGCCCGCTTCAGAAGAGGCGGGGAGGGGTGAGGGTACAGGGTCAGGAGACCAGGTCTCTCCTCCTATCCACTGTGCTGGGGCCCACACTCTTGTCAGCTGCACCTACCAGGACCTGTCCAGGGATGGTGCTAGGAAAGATACTGCTCTGCGGGGTGGCAGTTCACCAGCCCGAGGAAGCCTCCACTGAAGGATAAGCAAGTGCCGAGTAGGCAGAGGAAGGACTTTTGTGACTTGATCCCATAGGCATTAATGGGTGGGGGGGAGTCACTGAAGGTTCTTGAGCTAAGAGAGGCTTTAGACTCATGAACCTGGCAGGGACCGGATTTGAGCTAAGCAGGAGCAAATACCATGCATGATGGTGTTAAACCACCTCTCTCCTGGACTGGGGGCCTGATGGGGCTGAGTGGAAAGCAGTTCCCTTCCTGAAGTAGACCAGGGGCTCAGACAGGGTCTCGATGCCATGGGGAGGTTGGCTCCACCTCTGATAAATGCCTGTTCTTGCTGACACTTCCCTTTTCACTGAGTCAAGTACAAAGGCTTTGAAATTGCTGAAAGGACTGGTGTGTTACACACCCCTCAGTGGCCTTTGCTTATCCCTGACCATGGATGGTCTCAGTGTCAATCTCTAGATCATCCTTCCAGTGAAGCACCTGGCCAGTGTCAGCAGGGAAGGACAGGAGCCTTCCAGTCACCCCAGGAGCATGGCTGTATGCCCCCCCCCCCCGGCCTAGTGGTCAGTTTGTGGTCCTCTGATGTCCCCATCATTTGGTTCATTTGTTGGTTCACTAAGCACAGTAGGAGCTAAGATCAGATCCCTACCCCAGGTGATTGCAGAGCAGGTCCACAGGGCTGTGGCGAACTGTACACCATAATAATCACTGAGGCAGAGGTGTAAGTAAAGAGGACGGTGGAGGAAATCTCTCCTCCTTCGAGAGCTTGGAGGGCTTCACAGAGGAGGTGGCATCGGAGGCTGGCCTTGAAGACTGAGTAGAAGGCCTAGCAGAGAAGGAAAGGGAAAAGGCATTCCAGGTAGGGGCTAGGACAGGCAAGAGCATGGCATGCAGTAGGGACCTGTGACCAGGAGAGCTGCCAGGAGGGACTATTAGAAAAACATGATGGTAGTTTGGGGCCAAACTCTGACAGGCCTTGAGCTAGGCATCATGCTAGGGGCTTGAGCTTACCCCTGCAGGATGCCAAGGAGTCTAGGTGGGTTTTAAGTAGAGAAGACAAGGCCAGATGGAGGAGAACCGGCTCTCAGACAGCAAGGGGGTACACAGGGTGAGAGAGGGTAAGGCTAGAGCAGAGAGAACAGGGGTGAGGCCAGTGCCTGGGGTAGGGGGTGGGTTCAGATTGTCAGGACTAAGGGGCTGGCTGTAAGCTTGGGGACTGGTGTGTGCATTTAATCTTGGAGCCTAGATTAGGGCAGAGGTGCTCAGTAAATACTTGTAGGAATAGCTGAATGGATGAATGAATGAAATATTGGGGTTAGGGATCATGCTTCTTCCTGAGCCTTTTCCCCTGCACCCTCCAAGCACCCGGCACCAACTAGAGAGGCCAGAGTATAAGAGAGGCCCCAGAGAGTTCCCTCACCCTCCCTCCACTGTGTAAGATTAGAGAAGAGGCCACTTGCAGTCCAGGGGCCCTGACCAGAAGCTGGATCTGCCAGTACCTTAATTACAAACTTCCCAGCTTCCAGAACTGTGAGAAATTTCTGTTGTTACAAGCCACCCAGGCTATGATAATAGCCCAAAGACACAGGTACCCTAAACTGAGTGGCCTGAACAACAGAAATTATCTCAGTTCTACAGGCCAGAGTTTTGAGATCAAAATTTGGAAATGGGGCACATGCTCCGATGGCGCCAGGGAAAGATCTGCCCTCACTTCTCACCTTCTCACTTCTCAGTGAGGCCTCTCACCTCACTTCTGTGGTGTTTTGGTTTGTGGCAGCAGAACCGTGATCCCCACGTGGCACTCTCCCCATGTGCATGTCTGTGTCCAAATTCCCCCTTCCTACAAGGATTACCCATCAATAGGTTCCAGCATGACCTCATCTTAACTAAGTACATCTGCAATGACCCTATTTCCAAATAAGCTACACTCTGGGGTCCTGGGGTTTAGACTTAAACAGGTGAATCTGAGGGGACATTCAGCCCACAACACCACATGTGATGCCTTCCTTGCCTGCTGCCATTGCTCCTCCCTGGCTTTACGGAGCATTCCCACCCCCTGCAGGCATTTCCTCTGCTCGGTATCCCACACATAGGTATAGCTGACAGGTGAGTTAGGGCAAATCCAGCCCCAAACCGGGAAGCCGACCTGCAGCAGGTCACTGTGTCCCCAAGGTGGTTAGGTTCTCCCTCTCCCACCCTTGGAAGAAGATGCTCTTGTACCCTTGTGTCTCTAGGAGCCGAAACAGTGAAGGGACATTGTCAGGCATGCCTGGGCCCCTCTGGCTCTGCCCCACTGATCACTTCCCTCTTCACCCTGCCTCCCTTGCAGCATGTCAGCCTCCACCCAGAGCCTGGCCAACACTGAACCCATCAAGGTAGCCACATCAGAAGACGCCCAAGGAAGCTTCTCTTCGGTGGTCCTGGGAGACAAGGTGGAGAAGGAATATTCTCCTGAAGCTGAGAAGTAGGTGGTCACATTCTCTGGGGCTGGCAGAATGGGTGTGGCTCACAGCAGTGCCCAGCAAGGCCACTCTGTGGCTATGTGACCTTGGGCAAGTCACTTCTCCCCCAAGCATGGGTCATCTTCACCATCCCGACATCAGGCCTGTTTTGCCAACCCACTGTCCAGCTGGGCATAGCAGTGGCTCCCTGGGGCTGCTGGCAGTGGTGTGGCCTTTTGTACACCTTGTAGCAAAAACCGACCACCCAGAACAGTCAGTCTAAGAAGGGTGGAGACTGTCCTGCTGTGTCCCCACAAGGGACTTGCTGTACCTATCAAAAGTCCGCCAACTCCCTGGTGGTAACAGACTCGCTGGTGGTAATGGAAATGAATTGTGTTCTGCAAGGCCTGGAAACCTCATATTTCTCATGAAGATAAGAAAGCTAAACTGGGAGCATGTAGGAAGGTCACAGGTACCACCAGGACCCAGACAGACCCACCTGTGCACGGGAGGGGTCACACTCACCTCAGTCAGCTGGCCCAGGCCCTGGGCACTGTGCAAACCAGCCCTTCCCACCCACCCCCCCAAAAGCTGCTTCTTTCTTTTTTGATATTTAGAGGGAAAGAGCCTGAAGAGGAACAGATTCCTGTCAACAGAACCAGGAGGGGCAGTAGGAGGAGCATCAACTGGAAGAGACTAAACACTAAGAAGTGATACCACCCTGGTGGTCACCGAGCACGCTGGGCCCCAGCCTGGACCCCTGCCCAGCCCAGCACCCCAGTCTCCCAGCCCCTCCTGCAAGCCTCTATGTAATAAACGAGCTACCTCCGGTGTGTGGGTGAGGCCCTGGGGTAGGCTGGGGCTGGCCCAGCTCAGTCTGGCTCCTGCAAGGCCAGAGCCGTGATAAAATTGCTCTTGGCCGAGTCCTTGGAAACACCCATCCCCTGAGCCCAGAACTTCCTCTGTAGCCAGTTAAGATAGCCAAAGCACCTCCCCCTCCCAAGGACACAAACTGTCTCACCCCAAGGGGCCAAGCTCAATGACAGCATAATCCCTGGGGAAGCCTTGGGCAGGATTGAACTGTGCCCTCTTGCCCTTCACTAGGGGTAGGCTCAGAGTCAGGCCCAGGTAGGAAAGAAGGTAACAGAGAAAAGTGGAAAAAGGCAGAGGGATGGAGGTGGCATAGATAGAAGAGACAGGGAGGCAGGGAGCCTATGACAGGGAGAGAGTGGGAGGAAGGAGGGGAGAGAGAGGCAGAAACAAGAAGAGGAAAACGAAGCGGGCTGGAAGAGCAGGGACCCAGAGCCACACCCAGACAGCCCAGCAGCAGTGCCCTTTGGTGGAATGGATACCCCTCCATGAGAAGGCCTGAAGAATCCTGAGGCCTTAAGCAGCATCACAGGCCCTGAGACAGAAGCTCTCAGGCGTGCTTACTAGTCCCGTGTCCCAGACAGCACCAGGAGGGACATCAGAACACCAGCCAGCAGCTCTGGGCTTACTGTCTGGGGTTCACGAGAACCACTTCCCAGGAGCAGGAGCAGGAGCAGGAGCGAGGTGAGGGCTCTGGAGAGTTCAGACCCCGATCTGAGGGTGGCAGCTGGTGAGTGTCCCACACATAACAACTTGCACTGCCTCTGTGATGTAAGCTTTCTTAGTGTGAATTTTTTGAGGCTTAATTTTTATCTTTTGTATCATTCGAAGATGTTTTTTGAATTACACATTTGTCCTCCCAGAAATGGATTTGAAATGGCCTCCTATGTTCTTAAGGCTGCATCCTTTGATGTTTGTTAGGGGTCCTGGGGGGTCTAACCACTCTCTTCTCCTCCGCTTTGGAGCACAAGGACAGATGAGGATCAGAAGGCATCCTCCAACCCCGAAGGCAGGTCTCTGGTAAGGGTCGGAATGGAGACCTTGGTTCAAGCCTGAGCCTGTGATGAACGATGAAGCCTCTCACCTGCCCTGGATCTGACCCATGGGCCCTGTGCTCAGGGTGCTTGCATGGATGTGCCAAGCAGTCTGCATGTACACTTCAGCAGCTGCATGCTCTGGCAGACCATCTCTGAGAGGCAGCACTGGCCCTGCCCAGGGTGCTCTCCACACTGAAGAGGGCAAAAATGAGTGGCCCATGGGCAAGGACAGGGTGGAGGGCAAGTCCAGTGAATGTCCAGTGCTACATAACCAAATTTCCCTTCCCTGGGGAGAAGGGAAACAAGGAGAAGCCCCTGCCCCATGGAAACACCAGGAGAGGATAACACTTCACCCTCAACAGGATCCCCAACAAATCAGACATGATAAAAAAGCTGCTAGTTCAACTGAGAAAGTCATAAACTCCTGTCAGGTTAGAGTAGTTGGATTTCTCAAGTTCCCTCCTGTTGTCATTGTCTTTGGATTTAGGAAGGTCCAAGTCTTTCTAAGGCAAGAAAGTATGGCCTGCTTCAAGTGGATACTCTGGAGATAAGTAAACGCATGGCACGTGCTATTGCTGCCTAACCCCAGGCCTTTGCAGGCATCATTAATCAATCACAACACTCTGAACCTCAGTGATGCCATCTCAGCACAAAGATCCATGTAGCCATTACCAATTGACTACCAGTTTTTGTCATCCATGGAGCATTCCTTTCCTCTCCCAAGACTCAGTTTTTAGGAAGTCTTCTTGGAGGAATTGAGGGTGGGGTTAGAGCCAAAGCCTAAAACATAGCTTTTGTTAGGAAGCCTTGCTGTGTGTTGTCTGTGCCTAAGTCCATGACATCTGATTACTCACCTCCCAGGTATTCAGCCCATCAGGAAGACACGTAATGATAAGTAGCCCCATAGACTGTGGGAAATGGAGTCAGGGTCTCCCCTTATCACTGAGCGCCCTTCCCCCAATTCTTATTCAGGCTGACCCAGTGGAAGGTCCAGGAGAGGGAAAGACTATGACTAGAGTCAGCAACAAAGAAAATTGAAATGAGAAGGAAAACCAGGAGGTGGGGTATTCGACTTCTCACAATATTAAAAAAGGGACCAGATGCAGGAAGGCTTCCATATAGTCATCACGTCGTGGTAGCACTGGGGAAGGTCCCTAGTGCTAAACCCACACGCTGTACTCCATCCCTCAGAATAGAGGTGCACCCAGGGCTGGGGAGAGGTTCTGGAAGGACATAAGATAGTCCCCAGCAATACTATGGACTAAATGGCCTGCAAACACCATCTTGTTACAAAGTACATGGAAATGTGGGGTGATAAAAATCAAATGCTCCTATAATTTGCATTATTGGATCTCATAAGGCAATATGGAAAATCCTCAGGATAAACACCAAAAGGCAGTGGGGGAAGCTGAGTGATAAATACTTGTCTGATCAACAAAGGTGACACGCTAGTCTTTTCAACAAATGGTGCTGGAACAACAGGACATCCATGTGGGAGAAACTGTAATTGATCTTCACCTCACACCATTTGCAATAATTTATTTCAAATGGATCATCAAAAAAAAAAAACCCACTTCCCACCCCCACCCAAAAAAATAAAATGGATCATCAACCTGAACTTAAGAGTAGAAATTATAAAGCTTCTAAAAGAAAACACAAAATATTTGTGATTTTTAAGTGAGGAAAATATTTCTTAGGATAATAAGAAAAAAAATGAAAAGAAAAACAGGACCCGACTTTACCTCAATTAAAAACTTCTGGTCTTCTAAAAACACCTTTAAGAAAACATAGGCCAGGTGTGATAGTTCATACCTGTAATCCCGGTACTTTGAGAAGCCAAGGCAGGACGAGCATTTAAGCCCCAGGAGTTCAAGATCAGTCTGGGCAACATAGGGAGCTCTGTCTCTAGAAAATAAATAAAGAAATAAACAAGAAAACATAAAGGTACACCTCAAAGTGGGAGAAAAAATATAAATTCCTAGATAAAGAACTCATAACTCAAGAAGAAAACACCCCTATTTAAAAAAAAAAAAATGGGCTCGGAGCCTATAGCTCAACCGGCTAAGGCGCCAGCCACGTACACCTAAGGTGGCGGGTTC